GTTTTAGTATTTGAGTTTTTTGTTTATAAGCACACTGTTCTTTGTATATGCTCATTTTCTTTTCCACGTGTGCCTTTTGCAGACGTAATAAACTTATACTTATAATTATTAGGTTTTCCGTTCATTTTCTTTTCCATTTTATCCGATAAGATTTCTTCTGCATTACACAGTGGGTTCTTCTTTTGAATTTGCTAGATAAGATCCCTAAAAATCTCACCGAAGTCCCGCGCGGCCGCGGAACGTAAAACACGCGCGGTCTCCAAAGTGTTAATTATGTGGCCTCCCTAGCACTTGCCCATGCAATCGGAGACGCTATTCCCGTAGATCCAGCGCGACGTGACCTAACGTTTCGGCCAACTGAGTAATGACTTTGGTCGCTGGACCGGTGCGCCAAGAAAAGCGAACCAAAAGCAGGCCGAAGAGGCTATCTTGTAGGTAAGTAATGCAATTAGAGTTCGTAGCTCACTATTCAGTATTGATGGTTTTAGTATTGGTGATGGTCGTTGATTCCGTTTTTTTAAATCTCGAGCACGAACTCTTGGGGAAACTACAGAAGGTATAAGACAAAAGCAATAATACCTTATATGTAATGAGAAAACATCAGCGTTTTTAGGGACGGCCGAAAGGCCATCAAAGTCAGGTACTCGTTTCCGTCGTCGACTTGTCTAGGATCGCTATAGAGACGAAATTATATTGCTTTTTCAGAGGGTATGGAATGTCATCTTAATAGCTCTGCAAATGGGATACTCACATCAGGGAATGGTTGGTTAGCAACGCATTCAAACAAAAACAGTATAGAGAGGCGATTTCATAACTAGATTACTGTAGGCATACAATACGCGCTACATCGGCGACTACCACCGTAGTGGCTAGTGAGCTATGAACTCCAAGTGCCTTTACTAAAGTCATTAGCCTGTTTTTAGTTCGCTGTCCTAACCGCACCGACCCGATGACGACAGAAAGGAAGGGGAGTCACTGCTCAAATGGCTAGCACATCAAAAAATTTCATCCCTTGATAGGGCTTTCCCTTTAGGTTTCAGGTGTGTCTCGATACCCTTTGGAAGTAAAATCATCAAAAGACAACACACTGCGCCCTCACTTTATGGTTACATTGAATTTATTCTTGGAAAGATATACAGTGCTTCAAAAATTTGCGCAGTTGCCTAAAGGAATCTTCCACGGAAAAAGCTCCGCCCTCATTACCACAGAAAACGATACCTTAAAGGAATCTTCCACGGAAAGAGTGATCATTTTGTCTTGTGTGTAGGATTAGTATTATCGAAACTAACGCTTATGTTCCGTTCTTTTTGCTATGCTCATGAGGCTAGGGGCCTAAGGTATCGTTTTTCTGTGGTAATGGAGGCGGAGCTTTTCCCGTGGAATGTGTTGGTGGTGGGCTAGATGGTAGGACTGATCAAAGCCGCAGGGTTTGTTTGTTTGTTTTTGAGGTCATTTGCGGAGAATTTATGTCCTTCTACAAGTGTAGAATTTGAGAATCAAGGAATAAACACGATGAGATGAAAATCCTTTATTAACAAATGTAAGCGCTCTTCAAACTGATGTATCGCGACTTCGCCGTGCCAAACACAAGATAGTTCGAGTGCTGTAGCCGCTTGAGTTTTTCATCCTCACTTGCACTTTGATTTGGACGCAGGGAACTCCTATTAAATTCTAACTGAACTGGCTACAATGAATGGTTACACGAAATTTGATTCAGAAAAAAACTCCTAACAAATCGAATAATTCAGACTCTAGAGTGTAAACCCTGAGTCTTTTGGGCCAATGTCAGACTTTGTGAATCCAGCGAATTGCTAGCGATGCAATTGCACCAGCGAATCGAACTGTATACCAGCGGATCGGACTATGTTCCAGCGGATCGAACAATGTACCAGACACTGTCTTGGAAGTGGCGGGACATATCTCTCTAATCGTCTCCTCCTGTCTAAGTCGACGATCTCTAAGTTAGTCACGCCCCTAAACCAACAAGGGGTCAAGCAGGCTCAGAGTTGGCACTCACCCTCCTTACACCGGTAACAAGACGTTGGTTATTATTGCTCTGTAATTGCAATAAATATTATAACTTGACTATTGCATTGTTCTCAGTTGAGAAATCGGTCCGGATCCGGCACCATCACTCAGAAATTGGGTCATAAACAAGCAATCCACTGAACCACCCAACATTTTTGGTGCGAAAAGCCCATACATCAATATAAGTGGCACATTTTTGGTACATCGGCCAAAATACATTTGTATCACCATTTAAATAGAATCGGAAAGGTTCTATTACTCCTCCTTGTCAATCCAATCAAAAAAGCTGGAACCAGCATATATTACAATGGCTCTTTACTTTCATAAAAGGCCAGTTATCCTTAGCGCATCGACGCTGAAGAACCTCACTATTCGCTGTAAAGAATACACAAAGAGTGTAGAATTTCTGACAGCCGATGAAGAAACTTACGGAACATGTAAGAAATTAGTTGCGATTCTAGAAAGTAGCATCCAACAAGTGAGAGAGGGTAGAGAAGATCTCCAATCCTTATATAAGGAAGTAAGAGACGAATATAAGAACTGCAAGAACAAAACAGAGAAAAAAGATCTGATTGCAGAAATAGAGGAGATAGAAGAGGAATCTCAACTCCATCCCATAATAGCTGAAGCAAGTGATCTAATATTCACATTAACTGCTAGGCTAAGCGAAGCAAAGTATGCGGAGGATAGATTAGCCATACAACTTGGCTACGCCACGCACAAGTCCGTTAGGAGCGAATCCACGCTAACTAACGATCAAGAGCACCAAAACGGTCGCGAGAACGACTCCGATCGGAACAGCGTCAGCCTAGGAACTGAGGAAAGTGTCCCTACAACAGTTCGGGTTGAACCGAGCATGATAAGGTCTAGGCCGCACCGTTCAATAAAACCACCTCAAGCCTCACTCCCAAAATTCAACGGCAAAGCTGAGGAATTCTGCGAATTTTGGGCAGTCTATAAGACTCTAGTGCACGAATGCGATGAACTAGAAGTTATAGAAAAAATAATTCTCTTAAGAGAATGTCTCGAAGGAAGGGCTAGAACCGTAATACAAGGAATTCAGCCACTTCCTGAGAACTACGAGTGGATGATAAAGACACTCCAAGAAACATACTGTGATTTCAGTGCCAACAGGTCGCAAATCATACAGAAATTGGTCTCACTTAAGCCAGCCACTGAATTTGCAGAAAGTTGCTCCGTGACTTACGACCAAATTCAGGTCCTAGTTAATCAGATGGTATCCGCTGGATACGACGTGAGAAATACGTGTGATCCAATGTGGTGTGAGACTATTCTGGCAAAATTTCCACGCGAAATAGTAAAGCCAGTCCTAATTTCAAGCCAATCAACATCTAATCAGCCTATTAAGGAGCTTCTAATAAATCTCAAAAAGGAGATCGGTGCTAAATGCTATGTCGAGAACAGACTAGGCAGTACCATAGAACGCGAACCAGGCTATGCAGGTCGCGAACCAGGCTACGCAGGTGCACGCGAAAGAGGCTATGCAGGTGCCAACAAGGGCCACTCATTTAACCAGAGGCGACCTCACTACAGCGAAGACTGCATATTCTGCACCAAGGGCAATCACCTATCGCAGGCATGTCGAACGGTCACAGACCAAAGTACTCGTCGCCAAATAGTAAAAGAAAAAAGGCGGTGTTGGAAATGTTTTTCATCGGAGCATAATAGTTTCGATTGCCAAAAGACAGACTGCATTCGATGCGGTCAGAAACACCATTATACGTTGTGCACCAAGAAAGACCAAAGCGGCCAACGCGGGTCTATGGGGCAAAATACCTTCCGGAATCCTAACCCTGGATATAGTAGGGAGGAAACCAATGTTCCTATTTCCAATCAAAGGAATACTCATGCAGAACAGCCCTTCAGACCGCAACGCGGCCAAGGTGCGAACAACAGCAACGGTTTTGGACCTCATAACGGCAACAATAACCAAAGAAGGTCTTATAACAACACCCACATGCGACTAGAAGCTGAGCTTCCTCCCACTGCAGATGGGAACCATGCCACCTCTCAGCTAGTTCTAATGACTGCTGAAGGAAATCTGTGGAATTCAAAGAAGCAAGCCTACGAAAAAGTCCTCTTTTTCTTCGATTCTGGGGCACAAAAGACCGTGATAACAGAAAGAGTGGCCGATCAATTCGGACTCCCAAAACTGACTACAGAAATCTGTACTATGTCAGGAATTGGAGGCCACATAGAGAATTTCGAAAGCCATGTAGTTACAACAAAAGTATCTACTGCATTCGGCGAGGAGTTAGAATTGAGAGTTCAGACAAAGCCGGTACTCACGAATGGCTTTCCTAGTGTCAAGCTGACTAATGCCGACATCGAATTCTTAAAGGAGAACAATATATGTCTCTCAAACTCCAAGTTAAGAGGGGAGCTTCAAACTCCCCATATCCTAGTCGGGCTGGACTACTACCACGAGTTGGTCTCAGGTCCAAGTCATACTATAAAGACACCCTCTGGGCTTCATATTGCTCGAACAATATTTGGGCCTACGGTGTACGGCAAGGGACTGATTACGGCAGAAAAACTGACAAGTAATGTCTACCATGCAATAACGGCCGTTCACGAACAAAGCGAGCGGAAAATGTTACGCAAAATGTTTGAATTAGAGGGTTTGGGAATATCAGAAGAGGAAAGTCACAATGATGACAAAACTCACAAATATTTAGAGCGATACTCTAAACTGATATCCTTCGAGAATGGTTGCATAACAGCGCCCTTTCCCTTGAAAGAAAACGTTTCCCAACTAGGAGACAACTTTAGCGTCGCAATTCGACGACTAGAGTCCTTGCAGAGAAGTCTGTGTCAGTCTCCTGAGCAATGTACCTGGTACTCTAAGATAATTCAGAAGTACGCAGATGCGAATATTATCGAGAAATTTTCTGAGGCAGAGACACATGCCGCTGGCACGTACTACATGCCCCACTCCGGCGTGTGGAAACCGAATAAGAAGGTGCCACTCAGAATAGTGTTCGATGCATCATCCAAAAGAAAGGGAGAACTCTCACTTAATGAGGTCATTCACAAAGGAGAGTCATTCATCAGAAAGATACATGATATCCTGATAACTTCACGGAAGGAAAATATTATCCTCATGTGCGACATCGAAGCTGCTTTTACGCAAGTTCGTCTTGTCGATTCTCACAAGGATCTCTGCAGGTTTCTGTGGATGAGAAACGTTCACCCTACCACCTACCAAAGACAACCTAATTCAGTACCGTTTTCGAAGGTTACCATTCGGAGTAACGGCCTCTCCAAGTGTTCTGAATATGGCCCTCTCTTCCTACCTCAGCAGCCATGCATCTCCCATCGCTAACGAAATTGCGAATAACCTATACGTAGACAATATAATGATGCTGGCTGGAACAACAGAGGAGGCATTGTCGAAGTACCGACAATCTAAGGAGTTGTTTGCCAAAATTGGCATGAACCTTCGTGAATATGTATCGAATTCTTTCGAGGTCAACTTAAGAATCCCCGAAGTGGATAGATTAGAGTCAGACCGGATGAAAATACTCGGCGTCAGCTATAACATAGCAAACGATGTATTCAGAGTGGAAACGAACTTCCAACCTATGGAAAGGCTAACCAAGAGAATCATTGTGAGCCAAATAAATTCAGTTTACGATCCGATTGGATTAGCAGGACCATTACTGGTCCATCTGAAATCAATGATGAGAGAGGTTTTTGAACTTGGGGTTGACTGGAAAACCCATCTCAACCCAACAGTATGCCAAAGATGGAATCGATTGTGTAGCGAGGTTAACAATGCGTGCATCGAAGTGTCACGACCTCTCCACTCCTCAGGTGCTAGAATGCGTCTGTGGGTGTTTGGCCAATCAAATCGATAGAATCCATTACTGAGACCACAAACGAGCAATACTCAAACGAGTCAATAAGCTTGGTCGAAACCTCTGTAGAACCCAACGAGAAAACGGTGGACGTCATAGACCTTTCACGTTTCTCAAGTCTACAAAGAGCGTTACGAGTACTAGCCCTTGTCGGGAAAACAGCAAAAAGCTGGACCGATCGTACAAACAGAAATCGTTCGTCAACAATAGTACTGACTATTGCATCCAATTTTTCAATGACTGTGGACATCACATCAGCCGACATAGAAGCAGCTGAGCAGATTATGCTCATCCAAGAGCAAAGCTCCGAAAATCTTGAAGCATTACAAAAAAGATTCCGTGACAAGAAGGTTATTCGTGACCAGAACGGTGTAATTCGACACCAGTCTCGGCTGCAGAATGCGGTTCTCCCAAATGACACAAAGTCTCCTATCTATGTTCCTCCTAAGTCAGAGCTAGTCCGCCTACTAGTACGACAAATTCACAGCGATAATGCGCACTGTGGGAAGGAACACACGCTGACGATAGTACGCCAGAGGTTTTGGATTCCTCGTGCATCCAGTGCATTCAAACAATTCTTGAAAAATTGTGCTACGTGCCGAAAATATCAAGGATTGCCTCTGGGTGCTCCAGCAATGCCCTCACTTCCCTCAGATAGGGTCGTAGAAACCAAACCGTTTCAAAACACAGGGTGCGACTTTATGGGACCATTCATAACAAAGTCTCAGGACAAGATGTATGTAGCCTTATACACATGTCTAACTACTCGAGCAGTTCACCTAGAAGTGGTCGAAAACATGTCGACAGCAGCATTTCTGAACAGCTTCATACGTTTCACTTCGAGACGAGGCGTTCCAAAAATTATGCGCACCGACTGCGGAACAAATTTCAAGCAAGGGGAGCAAATAATAGCTACCATGTTTGAGACCGATGAAAGAACAGGGCAATCCCTGATGACTTACTGTGCATCGGAAAACGATAACATCGACATTCAA